CCCTGCCGTTAGTGCCCTGTACGAGTATGCGCACGACTCTAAGCAGCAGCGGGAGAGTCGCGCTAGGAGATGCATGTACTCGTAGGTACGTCACCGTCTTGAGGCTTCGCTCTCCACCGAGCTGGAGATCAGATTCGACAGCATCGAGTCGAGTCCCTTGGACGCTCGGGTGCCTGAATTCTGGTGCTTGGCTTGGCCGTTAGTTGATACTATGCCAACTGCTAGGGAACTACCGGTGAGTTATCCGGCCTGATGCTATTAACAGGCTATCTCATGGTAACGGCAGTTGCTTGCTATCAGACGCCGTCATATAGCACCTCATTCACACAAAAGCACTCGACAACCAACCCTTCTTCAAGATCCTCCCTACAGAATCTGGTCAGCAAAAATAAGCAGCATCAACAACATCCCTTGATTGGCTCCAACAAGAAAGACAACCCAACTCCCGTCCCCTTCAAACTAGTCCCCTCCTATTACCAAATCGAAAACCCCCGAATACCTCTCACGTAATGGCCATCGTTTCCCAAGGTGGCATGTCACCGTTGACCACTCTTTAACCCCATTTCAACTCCGGCAATCCCTTGTTCCCCCCCCCCTCTTCTTGTCATGCACGAGTTGACTGCGCGCATCTGTAAGTCAGCCTCATTGGTGCTTTCAGGCAACTTCTCTCGTGCCGTGCAGCTTTCTCAGCGTCGAGTCCCTCAAACTGTACAAAGGCACAATTTACTTCTAATGAAGACGTCAAACGAACCTGCAACTGCGGGAACCCACATGTGAGTCTCTTGTCTGTCTCGATCTTCTCAGAAGCCCCCATCTTCAACATTCCTTTTCGTATGTAATATCATGCAAAGCAAGACGGCAAAAAGGCGACCAGACGAAAATAGTTCGGATCATCGCCCCAAGACCCCCCGGAACACACACGTGCCCCCCACACATCGAACATGTAGAAAGTGCACACGATATTAATACCTGACATGTTCGTTTTCGGTTCGACACCCGACCGTTATTTGAGGCCTTTTCTGCCTCCGGGGATAATATCTCAAGAGCGCGCCACCCGTGCGTAGAGATTCAGCACGTAAACGTCTACCTAGGTAGTCATGCGAAGAATCCGAGCCGTCCCATATGTTGTAGGTAAGGTACCTTGAAACTCACAACCGAGCCGCGCGCCGCGCCGACGCCGAGTGATTACCTCTACGATTCTTCATCGGCTCTATAAAACGGATCCCCGATCTTCGGTCTCAAGGAACCCACAAGTACCACGTATTACAAACGCAGAAAGTATTAGGTCAACCGTAGCAATGATGCGCCTGCCTTGTTGTGCAGGGATAATTTAACCGACTTCGATCCAATCAACGGCATCTCAAAGTTCCTCCGGATACAGGCTCGGATCGTCCACGCAAGGCGCCGTCAACCGCCCAAGTGACTTGCATCGGACGTCATAAATACGGTAACGACAACGGAACATCACTCGGCTT